CATTGAAGAGAATATGTATAAGTAGGTTCATGCTTTTCATGCTCTGGAGAGATGTCACAGAAGTTATGATATATTCATAAGTTAGAGAAGCTGGAACAAAACATAATCCAGTAATTAAAGCTCATATGAACAAGCCCATATGTCCCTAATTTTCCTGCGTATTTCCAAGATCCTAACAAGCAGGCAAAAGTAACATGAACAATATGGTGCTGAATGGATCCCAAACCTGTGCAGATTAAACACAGAATAAATTCAATTTCCAATTCTGACCTTGATTGCACAGAATAAGAACTGAGGTTCCTCTTATTATTTTGTATTACAGTGATTAAAATTCAATCCTACATGGAAATGCAGGAAATGCAACTGTAGGAAACATGTATGTACAGAGGCAAAGCTTTCTTTACTTGAAATTATAAATACATCTATTCATTCATTAGAAACAAGCTCTTTTCTACTCTGCACGGTCTTTCCAAGTTGCTCTACACTACTGCTTCAGAAGGAAAGTAACACAGCAAATGATAGCACAGCCAAGTCCCATAACAGACTCCTTTACTCGTATACGTGATGAGGGAAGGATAGCAGATTCCTCAGAATTTCACTGCAATTTCAGCAGCTATTCCCTCTTAGGATGTGAATACAGGCACTGATGCATTGGCCCAGTGCACCCAGACCCAGCCGGCCAGCGCGATAGCACTTCCTAGTGTGTATGAATAAAAGCTCTAATTAGCACTGCTATGTCGGCTGGAGGATGAGACTCTTATGGTTTTGTTTTCATGTCCTCTTTTGTAGTTAACACATTTCATTAGAGTTTTGATTCACAGGCATAATAGTAACATGTAAGTTATTAGGCTTGGCAAGAAAAACAGTAATTGCAAACCACTTTATACATTTGTTGTGACACAGATTTTTTTAAATATAAGGTTAAAATGTCATTAGAATGCATTTGTCCCTTGATACGGGCTTGGTAATATGACCAAACTGAAAAATTGCTAAAAATCTTGAGGGACTTTCATCTGTCCTAATCCACATTCCCAGCAGAGACTTCTGCCCGTACGGCTTGCTTATTCAAGCAAGTGGAGAATTAAGGTCCCCAATGGACATTGCTAACCCAACTGAAGCTGCAACTCTAAATGCAAATGCACTGAACTTGCTGCTGCAACCAGTAAAGCTTGCTTTTCCCCACGAGTGGGGAAAGCTGTTGATACAGCTGCATCCACTCTCTGTGCTCTTTGCCAGCAGAGCCTGTTACTTGTGCTGTCACAGTGAAACGCTTCATGTGGCTTCAGCCCCTGAGCAGCATTTCTTTCATTCCCCAGCCAGTTCTTTTCTGAACGTTGCCACATTCTGAATCATGCTTAATTTCTTGATGAAGAAATTCACTTTTTTAGCTAGTAAAATTTTGTAGGAATGTTTGAGTTTCTATTCCAAAAAAGCAGGAGCAGAGTAACACTGACTTCTCTGAGCCTTGAACAATACTGCATCTAACACAGAAAGAAGATTTTATGGAGGACACTTTCCACATTTATACCAAATGGATTTCTACTTGTCCCAACAATACTACTTTCCCATTAGGGTGGAAAACTATTTTATTCTATTGAGGAATGCTGGTATCATTAGAGTTTGAAGCAACTCATTAGTTCTTAAAATCCATGTCCATATTGTGACTAAAGTTTTACCTTTTGAACCTCAACAGCTTTATGAGAAATGCACCCTCAATACACAGAAAACAGCACTAGCTATGATGAAGCACGAGCCAGCTATGAGGGAGGGGTGTCTGGACCCTCATCCAGGAGTCCAAAACATCAGAGGAGAAACAATTTCTGCATCTCATGCATCAGGAAAACACTCCCTTCCCCAACACCATCCCCCCTCCCCCAGGACTGTCAACTAAATGTTTAAGACACTGCAAAATATTTTTATCCTGCATTTGAGACTCCACACAGTAATTAAACCCCACATGTGTTATGTTAGAAATAATGCACAATCTAGTGCAGTTGTCTTGAAGATACTTCAAATGTATTTCATTTTGGTCTTGTAGATGCTTAAAATGTACAAAAATGCTTCAGCAGCACTTTTCAAGGTATCACGTAAACCAGATTTGCTAGAATGTCACTTGAAATTGTAAATGTATCGATAGAATCAGAGACTCTGCTTAAACAAACAGCATGCACCTTCAGATTTTTCTTGGCTGTCCTATAAGAAAAAAAAAGGTTATGTCATCAGACTCGACAAAATAATGGCAGAGACAACATATCAAGAAATAGTTAAACCCAATTTCCTTGCCTTGCAATTATTTAAAAGCAGTATTGCTGTGCAACTAATTTTATGGAAGGAATAAGGTTGCTCCTGCATT